AAATTAACATGTAGGATAGCACAGTAAGACCAAATCTGCACAGAGTAACAGCTGTAAGGAACTGACATCCACACTCTATATGTGAAAGTGAAATGGGAGGTGGCATGCCAGACAAGGTGTAGTCTGGTTCCATGGACTGAATGCATATTAGCTGTAGGTAGAATATTTTCCAGTTTACTTTCATCACAATTTAATCCAACTCTCAAACTTCATTTCATGGTGCAAAACAAGGTACAGTAGGCAGGTGCAATCAGGAGCTTCGCTTCAAAAGCACCTTCCTGATGCAAGCTATAATGCTAACATAGATACAACCACAATTACCACAATTCTTTCAAGAGTGTTAAGGCTCTCCAGATGGAAAATAAAGTCTAGAAGCCAACCTGCAGTTCACATGGAAAACGTGCTCTAGCTTATTTCATTCAGCACAAGACTATCCCCTGGATTCCCACTTTTATATTTCCATTAAATCATCCTAAAGGGCTGTGTGGGACTTGGTTCCTGACTAACAAACTCAAGAGGGAGACATGGGGCCCAGTATAGCCATGTTTAGTAGTAGATGACAGAAGAACACAACCAAGTACCTCAGTGTTTTCACAGACAGAGGGTACAGGGCAGAGAGATAAAAGAATACAGGATACCTGCACATTCCCAGTAGTAAGTAAAAAGGTCTGTTGTGAACTGCTCAAAGCAGAAGCAAAGCTGTCACGGCTCTGAGATTCCTTAAGGAAGAACATGGCCTCTAGTCACCCTCTGTACTTCTCAGGTTAAAAACGGTACTTTTGCTTTAAGTATCACAATTTAACTCTCATCTGATCTCCTCATTAAAAATGGGCCAGGAAAGTAATGTTTTAAACATGTCCCTATTTATGGTTATTTCCAGTTGGCAGGTATGGCTAAATGATACCATGGCTTGGAGAGAACTAATTTCAAATCATGTTTAGAACAGATCTGCTAAAGTGTTTTTTCGACACTGCAGAAAGGACCTTTTCATGTGTTGCCAATATTTTCACAACGATATTTCACTAAGCATTCTTATTTGGTCTGTCATAAAACTCACATGTAAGAGACATAAATGAAGCAATGAAGGGCACAAGTCTGCAAAGACTAGTTATTTAGGCTATATTTTAAGCAAATTTAAGACTGACTAATTACTGCGGGTGCCTTATTTGAATTACTTGCAAGGGCCTCATTTTCAAAGGGCCCATAAAGCAGACCCCTCTTAGGAATCACAAGTTTGGCCAGCCACACTTTGAAGAAAGCCAGTACTGAACATAACTTAATACAGTATTTGCATATTTATCCACCTAAAGCAGGAGACGACAAAGAAGTCGGGAACATTTTCTTCTGGGAAGCATTAGTAAAAGTGCACAGTCACTGGGACATGAGTCTTTCATCAAAAAGCAAGTAAGCGTATTCTGTAGAAGCAGGTGTATGAGTTCCCCAGGTAAAAATAAGAAGATGGGCGTGATGTACTATATCCAGACAGGACAATCTTTCCTTTTTGATTTAGTAACAGAATTTTAAGCAGGGGTCCCAGAAACATCTTGAGCATGTCACTACCTTCCAGAGAGCCACTTCAGCTGACAGAGTGCTGCTGACAGGTTCTCTTCATTTAGAGAGAGAGCTGACAGCCTAACCTTACGCCTTTAGCAAAGTCTAAGTCACACCTCTGTGTCATATTACAGTGTGCACCCCAGAAATAGAAGGAACGAGAAACTCCTCATTACTACACTGATTTCAAATAAGGTTTGTGAAATGGGGGAGGGGAAAGTTTTTGACAGAAGAAAACATATACCTGATCCATTGCCTTTTACTAAAGCTGTTAAGTGAAACTGAGACGGCCTCAAAAATAAACACTTGCTCTTTGGTCTTCCTTCAAGTTGTTACCTATAAGTCATCTAGTTCAGAGGTACAAAAGCATGACAGAACTATTTGTCAGATAACTTTTTGCATTTTGGGGGGAAGAAGGGGAACACAACAAAAATTACCTTCTCCAACACTAACCTGACAGTGACTTTATTAAAACTTGGCATTAGGGTATATCCTATGTGTCCACTCAGACAAGTAAAAGTTCTCTGGCTCTGCAGATTTTGCCTTCCCCTGCAGGAAAGGGACTGGCTGATGCCCATAGGGCTCTTCCTAGCTATGTTTTCTAGCTGCAAATATAAAACATGGCCCCTTGCTGGTTAACATCTTGTATGCACAGCTTGTTTTCACTCAGGTTATGGAATATGTACATACAAAGTTACAACTGCCTCAGAGGTCTGGGGAGCTGACAAACAAGAACAGAAACTGCAGAGGCAGGAAGCCTGTTAAAAGAGTGATTACCAGCATGGGTGAAGTATATAAAGCACTTCTAACACAGCATGTTCTCCAGAAGACTCTTCTCCACCGTGATCAAATAAAAACATTGTTTTGGAGTACAGTTATGCTTGGAGCTGTGACTCTCTTCCTCAGTATCAGAGGTGGCCCCATACCTAGAGTATCAACGCTTCAGAAGGACCAAATTGGGTGGGACAGGGTGGGGCTCTTATATATGATGTTTTTCTTCCAGAAACAGAGAATCTGATCTTTCAAATCATATGTGAAACCATTCTCCACTCAAAACCATGCATAAAAACACGAAGACAAAGAGTTTAAGTGATACTTACGCGGCATGATCCCTTGGCTCACCAGCTCCTCCCGTGTGCGTCGCTGCTGGAGCTTCAACTGCAGCACTGCACAAGAGCAGAGAGAGGGAAGAGAAAGAAACCCATCAGTGCAAGAAACAACTGAGGAGACATTCCCAAACGCATCTCGTTTTCTTCTTTGGATGCCAAGGCACTAGCAAGCAGCAGAACGAAAAGACACTCTCTCCCACCCAGCTCCCCTGCACCACTGCAATTGCAGAAGTGGCCTTCAGCAGTCAGGTTTCCGTATTCTGCTGCGGGCAACAGGCAGAGGAAGTTGCGCAGGGTCTTGGCAGGGTGATAAAAATCCGCAAAGCCAGGCTTGTTTCTCAATTCTTTCTAGAGCACCAACTTCTTTCCAAACCATTAATATTAAAAAACAAGCAAAGAGAAACACCGGCTGACAATCCTCCAATAAACACAGAGTGACACCCCAGCTGCTAATGACTCCTGAAAACTCTAATTACCGTGTGTAGATTAAATTGATATGACAAAATTATTGGTCATTACCCTAAATTACAAGGCTGATTTTCTTCCTCAACTCAGAAATTCGCCTTCAGAAACACCTCATGAAAGTGAAATATCATGGATATATCTAGAAGTGTCATTGTTCCACAGTAAAAGGAATCCCTTATCACTAAAATTTTTCCTATTTATTTTAGAGTAATAGAACATATACATTACCTGCATGAAATACAATTATATTTTTTCTAATGCAAATCTCTTGAATAGCTGTAATTTCCACATTTAGATTATAACAGCATTTTCCCTTTAAACTACATAATCAAAGCAATATTCTAGAGATTTGTCTTACAGTCAAAGACAACTTCCATACAAAAGGGACCTTACAAAATTGAAGAAAAAAATCACATGCGCACACGCGCACACACACGTCGATTCAGGACAACCTGAGTGAACATCAATAGATACTGAATCCAGCCTGCAATCAAGTCCAAGCCCCTAAGTATACTCAACATAAAATATTACAGAATGAATGACATGGCATCTTCCCTGTTTTCATTTCAATTTCTCTGTCAAGCTTATGTCTGTTGTATAGTCCACATAGGAGAGGTCCACACAAACGTAGTGGAACCACCAGACAGCACAACTACTCCTTGTACAGTCCAACTATACAATCTCATTATAACCCTTATGCTTCCTTTCTCTTGTCCAATACATTCAACTTCATACATTATATCCAAATTTATACTCTACACTCCCTAAAGCAGGGATCAAAAAATGTAAGAAGATGCCACTTCATCTACTTACACACATTATCACATTTTATCTGTTTCTTTCAACCTCCTATTTGCAGTTTGCATTTGACTAAGACACATCTTCCAGTAAGGGTTCTGGTCTTCATATGAAGTTAACAAGAGATCCATCCCTTTCTTGAGTGTTTGTGCAGCGGCTAATCACCCTCATTTAAATGCGCACTAAATTTTCACTTGGATTTGTCTAGCTTACGCTTCCCTTGGCTCTTGATGTACCTTTCTTTGAAAGGTTTATGACAGGGAGAATATGTTTCCTACCTGTGCAGGTACTTCTGTACACAGTGTGCAACCAAGTTACCTCTTCTCTTTCTTAAGCCAAACTAGGATTTCTTAATATATGCACCCTGGGCAGGAAACTACTTCCTTTAGTACAGGGGAGGGAAAGA